GAGAATTGAGCCTTGAGGCACGCCCATTTGTACTATCGAGACAGAAGAGCTCATACTATTAATGACAACTTTTTGCGTTCTGTTACTTAAATATGAAGCAATTAATTTTAGAGCATTACTTCTTACACCATAGTGTTAGATTCCTAATTAATGTTTCAAGCTCAAAACTATCGGAGGCTTTTGGATAGGTCACAAAATATACACAAAACATCCTATGAATTCTCCCATGCATTTCAAATATATTTAATTAGCTCAAAACCAATATCAGTTGTTAAGCGACTCCTGGTGAAACCGAATTGATTTTTATGATGTAAACTATTTACATTAAAAACAAATTAATATTTGATCAAGAATAATTTTTTCAAAAACCTTACTAAGTGATGGCAGTACAGAAATTAGTCTAACATTGGCGATGTCTAATGTACTATCAGATTTAAATAAAGTTTTACTTTACTATGTCTGAAAAATCAGGAAACATACCAAATACTCACATTCTCTCCTCTTTGTATGGCTGTTTAATCTTTCCGCTCCTCATTATTTAAAAGAACGTTTGGAGTATCTTTCCCTTACCCATAATCGTAAAACATTAATAAAATTTTGAGATCTTTTTTTTTTCAAAAATTTATTTATATTCCTCTATGTTTGTCTGTGCTTATGTCAATTTGATTTACATTCGATCTCCAAATTGTAGTTTGCGAGGGTAACGGGAATCTATTAGCTCCGGCAAAACACATTTATGATAAAAGTTATATAATTTTAAAATTTTGTCTCTTGTCAAAACGCATCATCTCTTTCAATTATATCAATTTCAACGCCATTTGGCGTCCAAATAACAAAGTAGGGAAACTTTTCGTTTCGAATAAGCGCGCGTGACAGCGCGTGCATGTGTGCGTGAGCGTCTTTCCGCACCGCACCCGCGCTTTCAAATTATTTTGTTATTTTTATTAATTTTTTATTAAATAGACATGATAGTTATATTTTATCAATGTTCAGAAACATTATTTGTGTGGTAAAGTCTTTTTACAATAATTACATTTATCCATTTTTTCGCCTCGGGCACATTTTTCAAAATTAATGGTCCCACAGCTGTATTACATCTCGTCGTCCCTATATAAAAACTACTATGTGATCTCAGCATCATAAAAGGGGAAAATGAAACTCTTATATTTGTACACTATGCACACTAAATAATAAAAAACCAAAACAAATCTTAATTAACTTCCCTAGTATTTTTTTCCAACTTTTTATATAAGTCCCTTGTAATATTATGATGAAAATATAAACTAAACCAAATAATATTAAACTGACGCCCTTCGTTTACATTAATACCAAACAATGTTTCAGCTACTAGCGTAAAAACAAAGTACATAAAATTAACATCAGCCACTAATGAATTCAGTCAATTATTTCATCTGTGTTAAAAATTTAATTTCGTACAGTTTAATAAAAATAACACTTCGAAAGATTTAACGGCAAACAATTTATTTAAAATGATAATTTTCAACCACAATTTGAGCATAAAATATTGGATATACGTTTGATTTTATAGCAAATATTTGTTACAATCCTCATTTTTTATACATGTAAAGCCCAAATTTTAATGTAATAAATCAAAAGAATACATGTATAGATGTTTTTTAAAGAATTTTTTCTTTCGAATAAAGAAAATGACTTTGTAAACCGCCATATAATTAATCCATTCAATTGGTAAATAAATTCATTTCATTAATTCAGTCATGGTACGTAAGGAAGACGCTAGATGGCATAAATATATACCGCTAATATAAATCAGTAACGTCGTGGATCGTTTTGAATGGATTGGAATATGATAATTTTATTAATTATGGTTAATTTTATTAATTTAACAAATTGTTAATTTTTCTAACTGTCCATTTCAACAGTTAAAATACATATTAACCATCTTTACTATACAGTACATTGTTTATGGCCCGGAGTGAGGACAACAAAGTTTATTTAGTAAACTAACACAAAAAATAACAAACTCGGTACATCTAGTTCTCCTCGTCGCGGAGTTCCTGTAGCAGTCATCTAAGTACACTATCAAGTCCCTCCATCAAGTCTGGAGGAAAGGTAATAATACAAGCCCAAACTCGGCACATTTAGTTCCCTTCGTCGTTGAGTTCCAGTTGTAGTCTTCAAAGTACACTTTCAAGATACGCTATCAAGCCCAGAGGTAAGGTCTCATCAAAACTTTCGATTAATCTCACAGTGGTAAACCGCTAAACAACCAGATGGTGTGGATGGCGAATCGCGATGGTGAAACTTGGCATCTAGAATTTATCCGAACAATTGAGATACATAAGTAACGTAAAGGGATGTAACAACTTTTCGCGGCATCAATGAATTGAGATGATCAGAAAAAACTTGGTCGTTGGTAATTCAAGCTACACTTCGCTGAACGAGATCAAGGGGAATAAGGTGGCACATTAGTACCCTGATCCAGAGATGAGAACAGTGTTGTATTTGAGGTTGAACTTGCGCCTTATATAGTTGCAAACGGACGCCGAGAATTTTGATGTTCTGCACTATATAAGTCTCAGATTGGTGATGACTAAATCTATTTAGTCATCACCAATCTGAGACTTCTTTTTAAAAAAACTCGACTTCTGTCATAACGTGCTCTATGACATGCGCCGGAGAAATATTCACAGTGCCAGTGTAAAAAGCATCATCAGTGCTGTCATCTGCATCGCAATTATTACGTATTCATATTTAAAAACTGTTCATTAACATTAGTTCTAATTGGGTTTTGAGCATGCAGCCTTATGTTACACCAACATTTATAGGCTTGAAGTCGGAGCTTTGATCGTCTACTACCTCCATTTTTGTACAAAAAGTAACTTAAGGCCGTCTTGTAGTACAGTGTGTACTACAAGACTAGATAGTAAAACTTTACCTCGCTCTCCTCCACAATTGTCAAGCGAATTAGTACTAAAGCAGAAATAATTTAAAGAAAAATAAAATACGCCCAGACTAAAGGATGTCTCAGCAGGCACTGGATGGGGCAGCCGCGAGTGCTTAAACTGTTCGATTTTGCAATATTTTTTCATAACATACAAATTAAAAATGAATTTGTAAAAATTAATTTCCAAGATGCCGTACTTAAAATATTTAATCGATATAAGCCTTACACGTTTTTATTATGGAATTTCTGTAAGGATTAAGTATCATAGATTTTTTTATGGAGCCAATTATTATGGTTCGCGTTTTTGTTTTCACATAATAATTTTGCGTATGTTGAATTTTAAAATAATGATGTTTTTGCGCAATAATAAACTTACGTAATTTTACAAAGGTTTAAAAAAGCTTAAAAGTACTGCAACGATGCCTTGATGCTATAATGGCACTCGCTGCCTGTTAAACTTTAATAGGTTTTATAGGTGAGAGTTATGGAGCAGTAAAAAAACATACAATTATTTGGTCTAGCATGATATATTTGATCATGATTATATTTTTGTAGTCAGTTTTTACTTTATTAAAAGTTTAATTTTTTACGCTTTTGAATGGACAAAGAAGATCCTCCCTTAGGGGTAGAATTTTGTCAATTTAAATTAGACCACCCTTGAGGCTAGTCTTTTAAATTTTATAAAAAAAGGATAATTTAAACCGTTTTCAAGAAATTCGTAAACATACATACATTAAAAATACGCCTTGAATAAAGGAAACAACCTTTTTTTTAAAAAATACCTTTTTTGAAGTTGCTTGATAAAATAAAATATTAATAAGACCAAATAAATAAAATAATAAGTATTCTTACACTTGCTACATATCATCTCGTGAGCATTATAAGAGGCGGCAAAGGACAACTAAAACAGAAGACGGGATATTTCCCAAACCCACAACCATCGTAGCCAATATGCCAAATATCCCTAATAAATATGATATAATGAGATTTTGTTTTAAGGTCACTCCTACGCAGCGTATAATTGCATTAAACTGGTCATCAAAATTGTTGCATTACCTAATTCATCTCAATATGCATACCAAATTTCAAGACAACACCAGTTACTATTAGAGAACTAAGTCGAGAAAAAACTATCCGGGCTACATCATCAGATCCCTATTTAATGTGATAAAGTTGTTTTATCGTAACGTACTAACGAAATTTCAAAAATTAAAATTTCAAAGCTGTTTTTGTAGTATTTTAGATTAATCAACAAAAGTAATTATTAGACCGCAGCGTAGCCTCTTATTCTTCTAACACCGATGCAATTTTTTAATATTATATCCTCTGAAACTAATTTTTCGATTTGGATGAACTTAGCACAGATAATTTTCTACGTAGTGTGAACTGTGCATAATTTAAATTTACCTATCTAGCTCATATTATGGTTTTTTTTAAATAAAAACACGTATTACGAGTAGTAACAAAATGCATAGATGCACTATGCATTTTTATCCCATGTACGAGGGGAGTGCTCCGAAATTTCTCGAGCGCTAAGATTTATCATTGCACGTTGTGGCAATATTTTTAATACCATCCACACCATCAGAATGTTTAGCAGTCCACTACCGTTCTCTTTTTATTTTGTCATAGTTCTTATTATAAAATGATTATTTTTTATGATTATTACTTGTTCGCGTAGAGGCGGCATAAGAATATCCACTACCCTATATCGTCCCGTGGGTGTCGTAAAAGGCATCAAAGGAATATAAACCGTCTTAATAATAAACATAAATATATTGGTAAATCCAATTGTGCATGCCTTAAGGTGGAACAAGTTGCGGGCTCAAACTCACTGGTGGGTGTGGCCAAAAAGCACGCTATCTCACCTGGCATCGTGTCCGACAGAGATGTTATCAGTGATGAGCAGTTAGTCTTCACGCACGTCTTGTTCGAGCGGCGTTCCGTACTGTTCGAACAAAAACAAAGTAACACGAACACGATGCACATCTTTTTAACATGACAGAGCCATGCTGCAGCTATATTAGTAGTATAGTTGTAGCACGAATACACGCGTACAGATGCGTACAGATTAATGCAACAGAAATACACTCGCGGGCGTGGAGAAGAGTATAAGAAGCGACGAAGACGAGAAAAATACCTACGTAAGAGAAAGAAAAGATCGTACGAAGAACAACAACTGCGTGTGATTGCAACTAGTTACACACAAAAGGAAACTAGAAACTTCTACAACCAAGTGAATAGGGGACGGAAAGAATTCAAACCCAGATCCACGGCGTGGAGAAGTAAGAATGGACAGCTACTTAATGACAAAAATGAGATCGTTCAAAGATGGGCTAAATACTTTCGTGAACTCCTTAACAGTTCAGTGCAAACTCGTCTACTCTCTGTACCTGTACCAGTACCTGAAGCTCTACTAAACAATCAAGAGACTGATGAATCTTTGTACCCCACCATAGAAGATACTATACGAGCCATTCAATCCATTAAAAATAACAAATCTCCGGGAATGAACGATATCGAAGGCGAGCTTATAAAATATGAAAGAACTGGTTTCCAGAAAGAGTTTCACCATCTGGTGCTCCAAATTTGGAACAATGAAAATATGCCTGATAATTGGAATACATCTGTTATCTGTCCCCTACATAAGAAAGGCGACATATTGAATTGCAATAATTACCGAGGCATATCTCTCTTGAACACCAGTTATAAATTTTTTGCCAATATGCTTTTTAATAAACTAAAGCCATATGTAGAATCCAGCTTGAGAGAGTATCAGTGTGGGTTCCGTCCAAACAGGTCCACAGTAGACCAAATCTTCTCCCTAAGGCATATCCTTGAAAGAACGATTGAGCACAACGTGAACACTCACCACCTTTTCGTAGACTTTAAGGCTGCCTATGACAATGTGCACAGAAGTTTCCTGTACCAGGCTATGATGGAGATTGGCATCCCAACAAAGCTCGTGCGCCTGACGAAGATGATTCTTAAAAACTCTCAGAGCGTTGTTAGAGTTCAAACAAATGTATCAGAACCCTTCAGAACCAATGACGGGTTAAGACAAGGGGATGCGCTCTCGTGCCTACTATTCAACATCGCTCTCCACAAGTGTATTCGCGACTCAAAGATCGAGACCAATGGCACTATCTATCACAAATCTGTTCAAATTCTAGGGTATGCGGATGACCTCGACGTGATAGGAAGATCTCTACCTGCAATGGAGAGTGCATACCTTGCTCTTGAAAAATCAGCTGTGGAGGCTGGTCTCCAAGTTAACATGGCTAAGAATAAGTACCTGAAAGCGTCAAAAGACCAGCAAACTCTACTACAAGGAGTTAATATTGGCAACAACACCTTCGCTAGCGCCAATGATTTCATATAACTGGGATCCTTAGTAACCGATAACAACGATGGGTCTTCAGAAATAAGTACGAGAATAATAGCGGCTAATAAGTGCTACTTCGGACTACTAAGATATATACGTTCGAAACTTCTTTCAAGAAACATAAAACTCCTCTTGTACAAAACCTTACTAAGACCTATACTCACCTACGGTTCCAAATGTTGGGTGCTGAGCAAAAAAGACGAAAATTCCTTGTTGGTATTTGAGCGGAAAATACTAAGACGCATTTTCAGAGCTGTGATGGAAAATGAGAGATGGCGAACGCGTTATAACCACGAGCTAAACCAAATGTACGATGAGTCAAAGGTAATTAAAACTATAAAGATCGGGTGCCTGCGTTGGGCAGGGCACGTTTTGCGAATGGACGAGGCCAGAGTACCCAAACGCCTTTTAGAAGGCTGACCGGAGAGCCGCAGAAGTCGAGGCAGGCCCAAGCTCAGATGGTTCGACGGCGTCGAACAAGATATCAAGATCTTGGGAGTAAAAAGTTGGAGAAGGAAAGCCTTTAACAAATCGGATTGGAGAGCTTTGCTGTATCAGGCTAAGGCCCACCCGCGGCTGTAATGCCTCAGATGATGATGTAGCACGAATGGGTAGGCTCGAACCAGACACACTTTTTACTGAAAAAGAGGCATCTTAGTCCTCATGGGTGACAACGCATCTGCATTTTGATTCGCAAACGAGGATAGATGTACCTACCTAAAGTTTACATTTTAGTTTCCACGACGCGGCGACGGTTTGTGACATTTTGTTGTATTGTAGGTTGTAGGTTGTTACGGGTGGCGAGACCCACCAAGATGTCCGCATCAGCACAATATTCTGATTGTAGACCACAGGCATGTGCTGAGTGGACAAACGGTAACTGCCGAGCTCCTGTGTGGGCTCTCATGCATTAGTTTTTAAGCATAGAATATTAAGTTAGTCTTAAGCGAGTTCTTGTAGCGATTAAACTTCTTTTAATTAATAAAATTAGTATTTTTAAAACGTCCTTCGGCCCCTGCATAACTTGACTGACGCAGCCGATAGGATTTTCGCGTCGCGTTTTACTTAAATTCAGTTAAATACGACGAGTGTTTTCTAACGTTTTCAACGAAAATCCACGAACCAAATAAATTCGTCGAGAAGAAAAGCAGCGAGGACGTCACGCTACAGAACTAAGACTCATCGGAGGGACATAGGCAGTATGTGAGTAGACTCAATCGCTATTCCATTTGCATTTTCCAATCCTATTCCATTTTAATTATAAGTGTCTAGAAAGTGGTAGCGTTATTTCCAAAATTCGAAGTGCGTTATTATTTCTTTTATTTAGAAATAAAGAAATTAAATTAAATTAAACTTATAAATTAAAAATTTACTATAAATTTTATTAAATATTGCTATTACATTAAACTAATTATAAATATACTTTAATAAAAATGCCTAAAATAACACAGATTCCCAAGGAACTCTCTGGTATTATTCCAAAATTTGACGGTGATGAAAATTTACTTAACCTATTCATTCGTAAATGTGAATATGTTATACAGTTGTGTAGAGAAATAGGAAATACTAGAAATAGGAAATATTCCAAGAGATTACGTCAAAGTTAGTAGGTAGAGCTGCCGCTATTATTAGTGAAAGACCAGATATTGAAACCTGGGGAGAATTAAAATTAACTTTTGAGCAACATTTCGGTGATACACGGTCTGAAGAGTGTATCGCGATAGAGTTGGAAACTTTAAAAATTAATAACGGCGAATCATATCTCGATTTCTGCAATAGAATACAATATATAAAGAGTACGTTAATAGCGAAAGTTAATAGACTAGTAGATATTAACCTTCGTAAGAGTAAAATTACTATATATTGTTAGGAATGAGGGTAAAATAATAAAATAAAATAAGAAATGTTGAAGGTAGAACTATAATCTCCCACTTGTTTTAGCAGTATAAAGTATCACGCAGTTGACTAAGAGGGATCAGTCAGTCAGTCAGTCAGTCTGTAACTCTACTAGTCACATATCGTTACTATGCCCGTTGGGCTAAAACATTACCTCCACACGGAGATACGGTGTAGTAGTTCTTCTAGTGTAAGCAAGGAAGATCGTGTTGCTGAGAGGCTGCCCGGTGTTACATCAAAAGGACTAGTGTAGCTGTTGCTTTACATACTTTGGTGTTATCATGTAATTATGTCCTTCACGTTACACTAATGTGTGATTGTGTCTGGTACATATTACGGTTGGTCGAACTGTATTTGCTCTATACTGAATGTGTAGAGCTGTACGCTGTCTTATTCCTGATAATGATCAATTGCGTAAGCAAGAGAGCAAGTTGAACATCCGCTCTCACACTTTTATTAATTTTAACAATCAACCTTCAGAGTAAATTCTAATACGAGTAACATTATTTTATGTAAATACTTTTGAGAATAATTTTTAACATCAGAAGTGTAATAGTTTCTAATATCAGAAGTGGGATAAAGTCCCTGTAACTGTCCACGTATAAACTTTGAATATTTTGAGGGTTATTACGTTGGTGAAAGAATGTGACGCGCATCGCGTCTTGTTTTTATGTTCAATTTCTTAAACCAAGTTTGTTGTCATATTTACGACATGGACGAATCATTAAAGTGTAGAGTGAGAGTATACAAGTGAAATGTTTTAAGCCAAAAGTTAGATCCTTTTGTTTAATTTTTAATACGTTCTTGAAAGACTTGAGAGTAATTAAATTTGATGTCCTATTTACGATATGGACGCACCAGTAAAGTGTAAAGTAAAAGCTTAAAGTCAAATGTTTTGAGCAATAAGTTAAAACTCTTTGTTCGACTTGTCGATTTATATTAGAGGTACCCGCAAGTACTTTTGTTATTCCTTAACGTATCCAAATATGTTAACAAATGTTGAAAGAACTGTTGAAAAGAGGTTTTAACTAAATTTGTTAGTTTGCATCCAGTGAAAACTTAACTTGTTCTAGTTTTATTGTAATTGTAGACTGTCGAGTTTTGATGTTTTGTGAAGTGATATGAAAATACGTAGCCTACGAAATAATCCTGGCAGGCGCTGTCCTGTGGCGCCGTGTGCGCGGGCGCTGTGTGCGCTGAAGTCGTGTTCTGTGAACATGCATCAGGCGCTGACCTGAGGCGCTGTGAGCGTGGCGCCGTGTGCGCGAGCGCCGTGTGCGCGAGCGCAGTGTGCGCGGAAGTCGTGATTTTTTGAACATGCATCAGGCGCTGTCCTGGCAGGCGCTGTCCTGGGGCGCTGTGTGCGCTGAAGTCGTGTTCTGTGAACATGCATCAGGTGCTGACCTGAGGCGCTGTGAGCGTGGCGCCGTGTGCGCGAGCGCTGTGTGCGCGGAAGTCGTGTTTTTTTGAACATGCATCAGGCGCTGTCCTGGCAGGCGCTGTCCTGGGTCGCTGTGTGCGATGCGCTGTGTGCGCGGAAGTCGTGTTTTCTGAACATGCATCAGGCGCTGTCCTGGCAGGCGCTGTCCTAGTTTACGTCTTTAACGTGGGAACATGCAAGTTCAAGTATGAGTATGTAAGAGATACTTCGTATGGAGATGTATGCATACTTGTGAAAGCGAAGTTCTTTATTATAGTCTGCGGTATGAGAGCGTATTTCTGTTTGTGGGCCTCGTATGCGTGATGGATGAGAGAATAGGCAACGGTGTATGTTGTCTTGATAATTAACAACTTGTTTTTCACGCAGATCACGATGACTACAATCCCGACGACGCTTTTGAGATCTCTGGTGCTGCTCCTGTTGACGCTTCGAGTACGTGACGTGGCGCAGCGTCTCGCTGGCGCTGGTGCGGCGCGACAGCTCGCTGTGCGAGTGCGGCACGCCCTATGTTGTTGTTTTGGCCACGTGCGCTTGCCTTATGGCGGCTACCTATGGAATGTGCTGTATGTCCATGGTGTCGTGTGGCGCTTCTACGTGTCGCAGCGGCCACGCTGGGTGCGTCGCAGTCTGTTACTGGCGCACAGCCTGGCCTACGCCTTTACATGCAGCTTCCTTTTTGCAATGTGTATAGTGGTTTGTGAGTGCCATGCACACAGTTACCGTTTAGCGTTTCTTATGACAATGTGTGGTGAATCTTAGGAGTCTGGAATTCTATGGTATTTCTTTTAATTTTGCAAAGCAAATTATTTATGTTTTATGCACCTGAAACGTTTTACATTTATTCCAATCTTGAATTACTTTAGTCATCTGATTTTTTGAAATCAGTGTTGGATGTACTTGAGTGCACGCTTGTGCATCTAACGTAATTGTTTCCCTGTCCTTTAGTTGGGCTGTTGTGTACTTAAAATTTTACATAAAAACTACTTGTCGTAAAATCCAATATGAAAAAGGTTTCAGGTACTAATTAACGCCAATTTTGTATGTCTCAACAGCCACTGAGAGGTATGCAAACTTGGTGCCTATGCCTACAGTGTTGAAGTCTGTGTGATACGCTAACATTGTATCTATGTCAACAGCCACTGAAGGCCACTGAGGGGTATGCAAACTTGGTGCCTATCCCTACAGTATTGAAGCCGAGACAGCTCGCTAGTGCGAGTGCGCCGAGACAGCTCGCTAGTGCGAGTGCGCCGAGACAGCTCGCTAGTGCGAGTGCGCTGAGACAGCTCGCTAGTGCGAGTGCGCCGAGACAGCTCGCTAGTGCGAGTGCGCCGAGACAGCTCGCTAGTGCGAGTGCGCCGAGACAGCTCGCTAGTGCGAGTGCGCCGAGACAGCTCGCTAGTGCGAGTGCGCCGAGACAGCTTGCTAGTGCGAGTGCGCCGAGACAGCTCGCTAGTGCGAGTGCGCCGAGACAGCTCGCTAGTGCGAGTGCGCCGAGACAGCTCGCTAGTGCGAGTGCTACGCGAATGATGAACGCAGCGGAACCGCTTGCTAGAGTGCGTTTAGCTGGGTGCCCTGTGTCTTCAGTGTATAGTGCGATCTGTGCAGTGTGCGTGTGTTAAGCTCTAGTATGAAGTTGTATACTAAAATCTGATTTGAACGA